ATTACAGCCATTCTGCTGTTTGCCAGACAGAAAGTAAATTTACAAACAGTGAACCTCATGTGGCGAAATTCATTTTAGTATGAATTTATACTCAAACAGGTCATATTGTCTTATCTTAATTCACTCAAACAAAAATGCAGAGCAATTTTGTCTTCATCATCATCATTGTGGATTATTTTCATGAGTGTTTTGTTTTTGTTAACAAAAATGAAAAGCAAGTCGTCGAGGAACATTTTAATCACAATTTTCGGCCTATTTCCGTATTTCATGAGAAAAACTTTTCTCGTGGTTTCCTGGTTTAAAATTAATTTTGTAAAGTTAAACTAGCCAGCAGCACATGTGCTCTTTGAAGCTTCACATTTGGAGTGTGATCTTGGTCTGAAACTATCCTGTGATAAACTTGTTTCAGTTAAGCCTGATGGTACAAAAGTGACCCAGCGGATCCGTATGGAAATTCCCAAAGTGGATGCAGTGTTCGTTGGCACAGGGGACTTATTTGCTGCTATGCTGCTGGCTTGGACTCACCATCACCCCAGTGATCTGAAGGTAAATAATACATTCTCTCATTTCTTTTTCAGTTTTTCAGTATAAAATGATACATTTGTGACTTATTGATATCACAGCAGCATTATCATCATGTAGCCTGATCTCTTCAGATGTCGGAAGCACAGCAAGTACGGGCGTGGTCAGTACTGAGATTGGAGACCTCCAATAAAATCCAGGTTTCCAGTGGTGTTGGTGGACCAATAGATAACATTCTTCACCCTAGACTAGAATTTGCAAACCAGCATCTCATTAATGACTGGAGACACAGTGCTGTGCTGTTTTGGATGAGACATTAAACGGAGGTCCTGACGTATGAATTTCAGTGTGACCTAATAAACCAATGGCCACTATGCAATTTTTTCATTAAATTGAAATTAAAATAGAAGAGACTCTTTGAAATATATTGCAACATTTCAATTGTATATCGACAATAATGTACAATTAGACTTGAATGCTATATTTTGTCAATTTAACAAGAATTATGTTAGTACAGCAGTTGTACTAGAACTTCAGTTAGGGCTCTTGGCGCTTGGTGCAATTCTGTGCATTTGTGTACATATGGGTTCTCTCCAGTTTCTATCTCCCAAACACATGCTGCCTATGTTAATTTATATGTCTGAATTTTTCTCCTGTGTATGTGAGCGTATGCACACCCTGTGCATCACTGGCTTCCCACCCAGGGTGCTGTCCTGTTTTATCTTAAGTAATCTGTGAGATACATGTATAATGTTCAATACTATGTATAGTTTGCAAACAGGTTATTGGTATAAGCAGTTTGGAAAGGAATCCATATGAGTGCTAAGAAATTTACAATTAAGTAAAATATGTGATTTGGTTTATTAACTTTAACAAATATCTTATGAGATCATGTTTTGTGTATTTCAGTACCACAAATAATATAGTTTGATTTTTATTAAAAATACTCAGGAGGTGTTGCCAGCTCGTTATTTGTGAGAATGAATGGTGTGGTGTGTTTCTGAGAAAGAAGATAACAGGTGGAGAAGACCTGTACTCTTCAACAGAAGGGTAATAACTTTAGGAGCCCAGTTATTATTATGCCAGATCTAGGAGCCGAGAGAAAGTATCTAAAAACCAGAGTGTTTCAACCATATTATGTCTTGTTATGCCCGAGTGTGTGAATTGTGAATGAGAAGATAAATGGTAAGGTGAAAGAGTGCAAAATGCTAGGTCTAAAGTGAAAGTGTTGGTGAATGACTGAATGATGTCGCTGGAAGTACTGCCCACCTGGAGGTTAGTAAACGTGAAGCTGTGAGACCGGACAACAATAGGCTCAGCTGGAATCTGTCAGCACTGATGTACAGATGCAGCCATTCAAAACAAGCGGGCGATACCGCATTATTTTGCGGTGCGCTTTATGCAGTCTACCGCGAGTTACCGTAAATCCTCCTATAAAAC